ACCAGCTCCTCGTCGAAGACCTCTGCTTCGGGGTTATCTCGGGGGACGGGGCCCACGTAGTTCACGTCGGTGTCCCCTTCGAGGCTACGGGGACGGAGGGTGGTCGTCGAGGGGAGGGTGGGCGTGGTGGTGGTCGTCGGGCGGGAGGTGGTCGTGGGGACGGAAGTAGTCGTGGTGGTGGTCGTCGAGGGCGAAGTGGTCGTGGGGACGGAGCTGGTCGTAGTGGTGGTCGTCGAGGGCGAAGTGGTCGTGGGGACGGAAGTGGTCGTGGTGGTGGTCGTCGAGGGCGAAGTGGTCGTGGGGACGGAAGTGGTCGTGGTGGTGGTCGTCGAGGGCGAAGTGGTCGTGGGGACGGAAGTGGTCGTGGTGGTGGTCGTCGAGGGCGAAGTGGTCGTGGGGACGGAAGTGGTCGTGGTGGTGGTCGTCGAGGGCGAAGTGGTCGTGGGGACGGAAGTGGTCGTGGTGGTGGTCGTCGAGGGCGAAGTGGTCGTGGGGACGGAAGTGGTCGTGGTGGTGGTCGTCGAGGGCGAAGTGGTCGTGGGGACGGAAGTGGTCGTGGTGGTGGTCGTCGAGGGCGAAGTGGTCGTGGGGACGGAAGTGGTCGTGGTGGTGGTCGTCGAGGGCGAAGTGGTCGTGGGGACGGAAGTGGTCGTGGTGGTGGTCGTCGAGGGCGAAGTGGTCGTGGGGACGGAAGTGGTCGTGGTGGTGGTCGTCGAGGGCGAAGTGGTCGTGGGGACGGAAGTGGTCGTGGTGGTGGTCGTCGAGGGCGAAGTGGTCGTGGGGACGGAAGTGGTCGTGGTGGTGGTCGTCGAGGGCGAAGTGGTCGTGGGGACGGAAGTGGTCGTGGTGGTGGTCGTCGAGGGCGAAGTGGTCGTGGGGACGGAAGTGGTCGTGGTGGTGGTCGTCGAGGGCGAAGTGGTCGTGGGGACGGAAGTGGTCGTGGTGGTGGTCGTCGAGGGCGAAGTGGTCGTGGGGACGGAAGTGGTCGTGGTGGTGGTCGTCGAGGGCGAAGTGGTCGTGGGGACGGAAGTGGTCGTGGTGGTGGTCGTCGAGGGCGAAGTGGTCGTGGGGACGGAAGTGGTCGTGGTGGTGGTCGTCGAGGGCGAAGTGGTCGTGGGGACGGAAGTGGTCGTGGTGGTGGTCGTCGAGGGCGAAGTGGTCGTGGGGACGGAAGTGGTCGTGGTGGTGGTCGTCGAGGGCGAAGTGGTCGTGGGGACGGAAGTGGTCGTGGTGGTGGTCGTCGAGGGCGAAGTGGTCGTGGGGACGGAAGTGGTCGTGGTGGTGGTCGTCGAGGGCGAAGTGGTCGTGGGGACGGAAGTGGTCGTGGTGGTGGTCGTCGAGGGCGAAGTGGTCGTGGGGACGGAAGTGGTCGTGGTGGTGGTCGTCGAGGGCGAAGTGGTCGTGGGGACGGAAGTGGTCGTGGTGGTGGTCGTCGAGGGCGAAGTGGTCGTGGGGACGGAAGTGGTCGTGGTGGTGGTCGTCGAGGGCGAAGTGGTCGTGGGGACGGAAGTGGTCGTGGTGGTGGTCGTCGAGGGCGAAGTGGTCGTGGGGACGGAAGTGGTCGTGGTGGTGGTCGTCGAGGGCGAAGTGGTCGTGGGGACGGAAGTGGTCGTGGTGGTGGTCGTCGAGGGCGAAGTGGTCGTGGGGACGGAAGTGGTCGTGGTGGTGGTCGTCGGGCGGGAGGTGGTCGTGGGGACGGAAGTGGTCGTGGTGGTGGTCGTCGAGGGCGAAGTGGTCGTGGGGACGGAACTGGTCGTGGTGGTGGTCGTCGAGGGCGAAGTGGTCGTGGGGACGGAAGTGGTCGTGGTGGTGGTCGTCGAGGGCGAAGTGGTCGTGGGGACGGAAGTGGTCGTGGTGGTGGTCGTCGAGGGCGAAGTGGTCGTGGGGACGGAAGTGGTCGTGGTGGTGGTCGTCGAGGGCGAAGTGGTCGTGGGGACGGAAGTGGTCGTGGTGGTGGTCGTCGAGGGCGAAGTGGTCGTGGGGACGGAAGTGGTCGTGGTGGTGGTCGTCGAGGGCGAAGTGGTCGTGGGGACGGAAGTGGTCGTGGTGGTGGTCGTCGAGGGCGAAGTGGTCGTGGGGACGGAAGTGGTCGTGGTGGTGGTCGTCGAGGGCGAAGTGGTCGTGGGGACGGAAGTGGTCGTGGTGGTGGTCGTCGAGGGCGAAGTGGTCGTGGGGACGGAAGTGGTCGTGGTGGTGGTCGTCGAGGGCGAAGTGGTCGTGGTGGTGGTCGTCGAGGGCGAAGTGGTCGTGGGGACGGAAGTGGTCGTGGTGGTGGTCGTCGAGGGCGAAGTGGTCGTGGGGACGGAAGTGGTCGTGGTGGTGGTCGTCGAGGGCGAAGTGGTCGTGGGGACGGAAGTGGTCGTGGTGGTGGTCGTCGAGGGCGAAGTGGTCGTGGGGACGGAAGTGGTCGTGGTGGTGGTCGTCGAGGGCGAAGTGGTCGTGGGGACGGAAGTGGTCGTGGTGGTGGTCGTCGAGGGCGAAGTGGTCGTGGGGACGGAAG